GATGCCACGGAATCAGACTACTCAGTGCAATTATGATTCATGGAGGCAGAAATCAACTACTGACATTTGAAAGGTGAGTCACCAAACTAGAAGTAATTTAACTTCCAGGTCTTGAAATCCACTGTCCACAAGAACATGATAAAAAGGTGACAACAACGGGTGAAAGTTGGTATTCTTGTATCGTTTTACACTGTAAGAAAATGTAGGGTATCTTGAAATAAAAATATTAATACGAAGTATTATATAAAGTGATGACGCCAAACATGCTATATAAGAACGTTTATGTCCGTGAAGCTTCACACCAGAAAACACCCTATAGTTTTCACGTGCCACATGCGTGCGTATGGTGTTTTATCTTATTTTGACACTTCCAAGGAAGATCCATGTCTGTGAACCAATATGTCTGCAAATCGTATTGATTCTGCTTATTACAAAGATATAATTTATATGATTGCATTCGTTGCTTATGCCTGCATGGCTAGGCTACATGCTGGAAACTGGCAGAACCGGTGTACAATTCGTTCGACGTTTCACTGTCCATGATTAGCAGACTATGGTACAGGTACAACGCTGAAGGAATTGAGACCCGTGAAGATCCGGGGTAGAATTGATCTTCAGCAACCCATGCTTGCCACAAAAGGCGACTATGCTTGTCGTAAGAGGCGACTAACGAGATCGGGTGGTCAGGCTCGCTGACTTGGTTGACACATGTCATCGGTTCCCAATTGCGCAGATCGATGCTCATGCTGTTGATCACTGGATTGTCTGGTCCAGACTCGATTATTTACAGACCGCTGCCATATAGCTGGAATATTGCTGAGTGCGGCATAAACCTAAACTCACTCACTCACTGAAGGAATTGACGTTGAGGTCAAGTTCGAAACCAGACACTAAACGACGAATATAGCACTATCCTCGGGCTACCGGAATGTGAGTTACGATTAGAAATCGTCGTCGGGTAGCACATCTCGATGCTTGACGGCCACATATTGTGTCGCCGATTGCAAATCGCCACCTTGCCAAGAGACGTTAAGGCTCCTTCACACCTATTTCGAATTGACAGGAATCAAGGAGAATCAACCAGAAGATATATATTTCCAAAATTCGAACCGCATTCGGGAGAGAATGTCAAAATAAACTCTCTTTTTTAAGCTTTGTAAGACTGCCGTTGGTACTTAGAATGCACTTCGAACCTGCCTCAAATGATTCTTGCTCATTCAGAGTATAATAGATTTCGAATGCAGCTCGAATGAATCAGAATACAGTAGGAATATTTAGAATGCCGGAAGAATACACTCAGAATACTTAAAGTGCATTCGACTGCCGTACGAGTCCGGTTCGATTGCTGCGTGAATATCATTCGAATTTCAGTTTGAAAGTACCTCAAATGCTGTACGAATGTACATAGAATGCATTCAGAAACCTCTTGGAATGACCCTCCCGAATATGGATATGTGAAAGAATCCATACATAATGCAGCTCGAATATTTCAAATGTCCTTTAAATGCACTTAGAATGTAACACGAATGTCCGAAATGCATCAAGAATGCTGCCGGAATGTTCCACGATGGGGTATAAAAACCTGTTCAATCTAGACTATTCATCAGTCTCTGCCCAACTCCTATACAGTATGGACCCCTTAGACCATGTTCCGTTGCTCCAGATGGCTGTCCTCCAGCAAGACCTGATTGAAAGGGATGTGGAGGAGACAAGGTGAAGAAACAGGAGAAGACCCAGGAGATTCCAGACCAGACCATGGCTGACAAAGGAAAGGAGGAGGCTGTATGGACATTGCACAAGACTGATGGAGGAGCTCAGAGTTGAGGACACGCAGTCTTTCTTCAGCTACCTAAGGATGGAACCTGCCATGTTTGATGAGTTGGTGCAGAGGATGGGGCCAAGCATACAGAAGCAGGATACCTATACGGATGAGAAAGGCGCTACCTCCAGGCTTGAAGCTAGCCATCACATTGACGTTCCTGGCTTCAGGTGATAGGTACCCCAGTATCATGCACAGTTTTCGCGTGACAAGAAACACAATCAGCCTAATCATCCCAGAAGTATGTAAGGCCATTGTGGAGGAATATAAGGATGGCCACTCCAGAAGAATGGGCACCCACTGAAGAGGTCTTCAGAAACAAGTAGTATTCTGTGTTGTGCCGTTTGTATTAAGCGTGTGGGTCGACATGAGGTCTGTCAGGACGACGACGTCCATATTCACCATACACGAATCGTCATTGCTCATCTTCAGCAGCACAACAATCAACAAACACACTGTGGCTAGAATTGATACCAGACCTGTCCCACACTCACCATATCTGGGACCTGACTGAACGTGGGTAGGCGCGGCAAAAGTAAAAACAGACTGCCTCAAACGCAAGTGAACTTTGTCATTTAACTTCTTACCCATATCGCCTTCAAGATCGGAGACTTGTAGTTTGTCTCGTCATTATGGTCATACTGATCCGGTTAAACTCCTTTTAAGAGTACATAATGGCACCTAACCCGAGGATAAACATGCTTGCCGCTTCTACAGATTGTAGCTGCTCATATTCATCTCACATCCTTCTACCCAAATGTTCATCTCAGACCCTTCTACTCCTGAATTCGTCTCAAACCCTTCTACCCAAGGGTTCATCTCAGACCCTTCTACTCCTGAATTCGTCTCAAACCTTTCTACCCAAGGGTTCATCTCAGACCCTTCTACTCCTGAATTCGTCTCAAACCTTTCTACCCAAGGGTTCATCTCAGACCCTTCTACTCCTGAATTCGTCTCAAACCTTTCTACCCAAGGGTTCATCTCAGACCCTTCTACTCCTGAGTTCATCTCACATCTTTCATTATGTGAGTGAGTGAGTTTTACGCCGGTTTTAGCAATATTCCACGGCGGGGGACACCAGAAATGGGCTTCACACATTGTATCCATGTGGGGAATCGAACCGGGGTAACGAGAACACGCTTACACACGAGGCTACCCAATCATCCTAAGTCTGGACATTCCACTGACAACAGCATGAACACCGATTTACGAACTTGGGTTAACTCTAATTATACAATAAACCCCTTCTGGAAACTGCAATTCGTTGTCATCGTTTGCGGTTCAAGTCCGGCCACCACAATACCTGATAATTGTTACCAGGATTGTAGGATTGTGCAATCATTGACATCTGCTAGAAATACCTTTTCTCTTTGTGTTTAGGTGAATGAGTATCTCCCGAAAAGCATTCAAAACCCACGTGCAAGGAACGCAAGTCTGCATAGAAACATTCAATTTTATACACTTTGGTTTTAACCTCTCTCTCTCTCTCTCTCTCTCTCTCTCTCTCTCTCTCTCTCTCTCTCTCTCTCTCTCTCTCTCTCTCTCTCTCTCTCTCTGCTACTTTGCTTTCATTGATAACCCAAATCAATCTACCAATCAGTTGAAGGGAGCTAACTCCAGACCAATTTACTAGTGACTTGCTTGACAGTATCTTTAGAAGTGTCATAAAATACTTCTATAGCGCCATATCCTCTTCTGTCTTTAATCTTCTTTCGATTTCTGTTGTGGTTGAGGTGTTTTCGTTTTGGTTCGTGTTTTGATGTTGCTGTTGTAGTTTTTGTGCTGACTTTGAAACCCGCACCACTCTGCTATTGCTGACGGTATCTTTTTCTAGTGTTCGAATCTCACCTTGCCACATGTCCCGATACAACCACTTCATTTCATGACCTCATGTTTGCCTCTTGAACGGAGAGAACCCGTGAAGTTCTTATCGTGAAAGGCGACGAACTAGATCGTGAGGTGTGATAACATTCCACTTCAACAATGTAGGTCGATTCTAACACCACGACTCACTGGTTTGCCTGGTCCAATTTCTGTCCACTTCTGTTGGTTGCCGTCTTGTATAGCTAAATTTACTGTTTTCAATCTCATAAATACTTAATATCGTCAATGAAACCCCAAATTCCTGACAATCATTGCTTGGCATGACTGGGTGCAGGCAACTACGCTTATAACCAACTTAAAGGGACTACTAATTATAGTTCGTCCAATTCCAACCTATTTGTTGATTTTTACTAGTGATGAAAGCTTGGAATTGACATTTCTTAACAATTTTGAGGTTTTTGGAGGCCATCTTGGATTTAGCCTCGTTCTGAGCCTGATCTACCAAACTGAGATGTCCATTACACATTTTTATATAGAGAGACATAAAGGAGTTGTATCAATATGGTATAAATTGTCGGCTCCTTGCTCATGGCCTAAATATATAATTCGTTAGAGCCGTCAGTCCGTTATAAGATTGTTCGTTAGAAAAGTAGTTCGCTCTATGTAGAAATGAACATGTTTGTTTAACAACCACAATCAGGTAATCAATAACAAATATAGAATCACATGAGAACTGGGGCGGTGGGGTAGCCTACTGGTTTAAGTGTTCGATCGTCACGCCGAAGACCCGAGTTCGATTTCAGGCATGGGTAGTATGTGTGAAGCCCACTTCTAGTGTCCCCGCTGTGCTATTGCTTGAATATTGTTAAACCTTACTCGCTCACTCATTCACTCCCAATTACGTAGATCGATGCTCATGCTGTTGATCACTGGATTGTCTGGCCCAGCTTTGATTATTTACAGACCGCTGCCATATATCTGGAATATTGTTGAGTGCGGCGTAAAACTAAATTCACTCACTCACTCATTCCGGTGGTTGATCACTGGATTGTCTGGTCCCGACTCGATTATTTACGGACTGCCGCCATAAAGTTGGAATACTGCTGGGTGCGGCGTAAAATTGAACTCGCTCACTCATTCTAGTGGTTGATATTGTGAGCAAGAAGCCACGCCGTCGGGGTAAGTTGACACGCCATCAACAAACTCGCAGAGCCTCACCACCCAATCTTATGACATACACAGAGTACGACAGACCAGGTATAACCATGAATCCCCTCACGGTCTGGTGAATAACAAAACAACAAAATTGTGATTTGTCCTGTTTCAGTCGACATGTCCTTTCAGTTGTGACAATGCAAATAATTCAAATTATATTTATTCCGTACAAATATAGATAACTTTGTATCCTCTGAGCAGTTTGCATTAGAGTCAGAAATTTACTCTCTTGGAACATACTCTCGACTTTACATTTGACATGGGCAGTCTCGTTGTGAAATTTTATTCATTTTAACCCATTCGTACGGAAACAGAAACATCATCATTACTTTCCCATCAATGCATATCAACACAATATTATTTACAGCTGTTCATGAGTGCAATTTCAGTGTCTTTCAATAGGCAGTGTCAAAGCTACTATTATGATAAACCCAACTCATTCACTCACTCACTCACTCCATCATTGCAACACATCCAGGAGTACCGTGTTAGGCATTCACATAATGATTACACTGGTTGAAAATCAGCGTCTTTCTGAGCGTCGAGGTAAACCAGGGCACCTGCTTCCTGTTATTGTCGAATGTCTGATCGGACACCTCGTTACACACATCAGTGAGAATGTCCACAAGGCTTCTGTTAGCCGAGACATCGAGCTGCTTCACCAGAGAGTTGACGAAGTAGGAGCCAGTGCTCGTGTGACGGAATGATTCATATCCAGGCTCCGTAGAACATGCGATGAGGAAGTCCGACCCATCTGGCAGAACCTTCGTGAACTCCTCGTCCAGTATGACGTCAGACTGGACAACCCCCCGCTGGGGTCTCTCGCCCTGACACGCCTGGATGAAGAACAGCTTTGGTTTGCCGGCCAAAGAAGGACAACCTCTGTTTCTGAAGGTGGATGTGATTTCCAGAATCGGAACCTCTGAGTTGTTTACTCCAAGTACGGAACCATTCTTGCCATGAGACAAAATACAACAGATGAAAATATCATAGTCTGAATGGTCTTTTAGAGATATCTTCTTTGTCTCCTTAATGATATCACAGTCACTGAGATCCACATACATCTTAACCTCCATAGCGAAGCTCTGGAACAATTTCTTCAGGTTTTTAGCATCAATATCAGACCCCATCCTGTAGGGTAAATAATCATTCCCGTTGGCATCCTCAAATGTTTTGTTGTTGATAATCACACACAGTCCTCTGGGTCTGGCGTCCATCCTGTACAACCTATCCCTGTCCGCAAGATCCCCAAGGACAACGTGCTTCCGGACCAGGGCTGGGATAGAGAAGCACAGCTTTCTGAGGGTGTTCACGTGAAGGATCTCCTTCCTACCGTTGGTGACTGTCAGGACTTTCATCCCGCTGTCTCGTTGCCTCTTCTCGGGGAAAACCATGATGCTCACGTGACACCTCCCGTCCGATTCGTGGACACCGAGCTGTTTGAAGGACTTGATGCCGATGAATTTCATTTTGAAGGAATGGTTCCTGATGTTGACTCCGGATACCTCAATGGTCTCGATGTTCTGGGGGTTGCACGAGTTGTCATTTTAAAATTGTTGGAGACCAGGTATCGGAGAAGATCAGTTTCTGTGTAGACATGGATGAGCTTGTCCTCCATTGATATCGGTCAGGGAGGTTATGTTTTCGAGTGTTTGTGCACACGCTCCACTGGGGCTTGTCATTCCAGATCCGGGCCTGAAACAAGAATTGAATAAATACTATCAGCAGAGGGCTAAACTTGATTGTGTGTTCGAATCCTAGTTTGTCAGCGACATATATTCACGAGTTTCAGGAGATGTGGACCTAGACTAACGCTAAGTCCCTGAATATATATAATATTGATAGTAGCAAATAAACCCATTTAAACATTGAAAAGGAGCCCTAGTGAGCTGGGAGATTCAGAATTCCTGAACCTAGGGACATCTAGACTTGCTTTATTAGGACTTTAGCATTGCAGGGAGGGCTGGGTGGAAGGGGAGATAATCTGGTTCAGGACTGGGAGACTGATTAATGGGGACGATCCGCGCAACGTTACCGTCACATTTAACTGACACGGGGTTATATACTACTCACGCTTTGCTAAGGATCACAAAAATTCTTTACTTAAACGTAGATTTATAATTTGAAACTGTATCCATTTAAAACTGGATAAATAATAATATGGTAACACCTCTTTAGGAAAACAGCCACTTTAATCTAACCTTATGCACTTGATACATGAGTAACCATAAAAATGGTTTTCATGGCACCAATCAACCATTTTGCAAATCATGGAACGAGTCATTGACAAATAAACAACACATGTCAATAGCAGGTATGGGATCCACAAGATACTGAAACCTGGGATCCATGCTTACAATAAGCTTCGATATTTAAACCAAATTTGACCCCACATAATAGTTCTCTGTTGAATCTATGATTTGATCCTTAGCAAAGTGTGAATAGTATATAACGTAAATGAATGCACTGGCAAGGTTAGTCCTGCAGGCGAAGAAACTCGACACTTAGCTCAGCTTAACAAAGAGATGACATAAGGAAATATTACATGGTGTTGAGCATGGCATATTATATATGTCAATGTTTAGAAACTAGGACAAATCGACATAATGAAACAAAAACTGAATATGACACACAACTGCCTTGTCCGGGTGGACATCACCAGACATTCTTATTTAAGTAATCGGCAGGTAGTTACAGAGTGGTGTCTGAAAAAGCAATCAGAAAATGGTTGTGATCCTCGTGTATCGAGCGGGGAATGGGATCGGCAAGTTGAAGTGGGTGACCGCGTTAGGCGTGTAAGGGTTGGCGCCACGGAGGTGAAGGGCAAGGGTGAAAGTAGACGAATGTTGACTGTGATCGACCTGCTAAGGAGTGACTAGGTGATTGGGCTGGGTGTACCGCCCTGTTATCGGCGTGTTTACATTAGGCGAATTGTGTTGGACATGTTTAAGAACCACTTGCGAACGAAAGGCCGAGTTTTGAATGGAAAAGGAGATATTCGTTTTGTGGAAAATGTTTTTAAGAAATATAAAAAATATATTAATTTTCAACATAGTGATACCTTTGTGCAAAGTGTCATATTCTCTAATACCGTTGTGAATGGATTATGTCAGTCTGTTTCAACTTTATTGTATTTTTAACCGTGAAATATTCGTTCTAGTTAACATAACTGTATGTTGTAAAGTGTTTGGATAGGGAATGAAAATGTATTGTGCGAATACACTTTTCAACCATATGTGAATTGTCGTGTGCAGTTTGTAACTGTTCTTGCTCAAACAATCTTTATAAATCATTGTTCATCATATCATGTTTGATATATGAGGACTTAGTTCATATAATAATCTATACCTTCAAATGATTATAAACGTTGGAGTAACCAAGGTCTTGTTTTAATGTGAGGGTTGGTTATGCACAGTGGCACTCTCGCATAGCGAATTAAAATCTAACTTTGGTTTAATAGCAAATACATACATGATTATTAGACATGACATAGACACGGTGTTCACAAAGCTATAAAACCTCACGACTCAGGTAGTTTCAAAAGTCATGTTAGGAATACCCATCCAGCCATTTTAAACAAACACATAGGGGCATACCTAATCCAGAGGTGAGGTGAAATTGGGTTTAACGTCGTGCTTGAGAATATTTCGCTCATATGGCGACGTGCATGCGTGTGTATGTGTATGTGCGGCTGCTTGTACTAGCCCAGACTAAAGCTGGTTTTATAGTGCTAGCCCACTGAGATACTATGCCGCAGTGAAGCATGAATACCCCACTCAGACACATTATACTGACTCCGAGCCGACCAGTCCTTGTTGTACCCATTAATGCCGAGCGCCATGCAGGGACCAACAAGTACCATATTTTAACGTCTTTTGGTATGACGCGGTCGGGGATCGAACCCGCGACCTTCCGCTCTCCGGGCGGACGCTCTAACCACTACACCACGGAGGCGGTCCTAATCTAATCCTTATAAATCGATAACTTATTTAGAAACTAATACAAATTAAATATAATATAACATAAAATTCAAGTACTTATGCATTGTAAAACACACCATCATTTACCAGAACGGGCTGTGCTCCCTACAGACATCTACACAGACATGTATTCAGGGTCCGAAACATGAAAATCTTCCAACTCTCGCTGAAGTGATACTTATAGCCATGCCATGGCGGAAGTAGAATGTACGTTGCGTGAAGTCCAGGAATAGCCTGGGGTCGTTATGATATACGGAAGGGTAGCCTGGGCTCCGCTCTGCTGGTTATGAATGACAGAGAGAAGGGAGATATGTCGACGTGGGGGTGGGGGGATGTCCCACAGGCCAACCGCCCACGCCTCTGCTGACTGGGTTGATCTGACCCACCAGCCATAGTCTTGTAAACCAATACACCATCTCCATGATACATGCCAACCGTGATCGTGATAAGCTTCGACCAGAGAACATGTACAAATTCCTGGAGATCATGTACAGATTCCAGGAGAACACGTATAGATTCTGTGGTTATAAAGGGGCTTGATTCCCTGCAGTATTTTCCACTATGCTGGATAACCCCGCCTATATGGAATTTGAGATTTAGATGATTTTTTCTCATTTACAAGTGGCTCCACGAACGAAAGGGACCGGTAATTTATTATAGGGCTGGGGTCGAGGGGTCGGGAGGAATAAGGTCCATATTATATTTTGAAATTTTAAAAAATTCATGGAAATGGGAACATTAGTGCATTAATGAACATCAGAACATTAATGCATAAGAAACTATGAAAACCCTGAGCCACCAATTACATGAACTTTTAGTTTTAGTCATGTACTTGAGAATTTTCATAGCGCAAAGTTCCAGTTGCCGGAGATACACGGAAAATACCGAGGAGGCTAGTGGTATCTGATGAATAGCCTTGAAAACGTCACAATAAGCCGGAAATCGTGATTTAGCATTCTCGTCATTCATGCCGATTGCGGCCTACAGATTAAATGGCCCGAGATTCGTCTGACCTCATTAAACACCACGCTGTTCATCTGTATCACGCCTCCACAAATATGAAAATTTGGACCGTTTTTTTGTGTTGCGTATAATTGTAAACGAACACCTGAATAGTGTATTGGGACAGAGCTGCTTAGAACGCTAGAAATATACGCAGTGCTAAAAGGTTTTATTTAAACTTTAAAAATTAAAAATTATCATATTTGACAAGAAATACTCAAGCCAGATTTTGATGGCATTTGCACCTTAACAGAAGACAATAATGGGTTATATATTCGATACAGGTGCTTCTTGATTTTATAACAAATTATACATTCATGATTATCAATTCTAATGTGAAGCTCACGTCTTTGTGAATAATATTCTATACTGAACAAACTTAAGTACCAGCTGATGCAGTAATGTGAAGCACAGGGCCATGTAACTAATATTCTATCATAACAAATTAAATTACCACTTGTTGCAGTAAAAACAAACAGAGGGTCATGCAACTAATATTCTAAACTAACAAACGTAATTATCAATTGCAGGAATAGATTATAACAAAGGGTCATGTAACTAATATACTATATTAACCAACTTAATTATCATTTGTTGCAGTAAATACAAGCACAGGGCCATGCAACTAATATTCTAAACTAACAAACTTAATTATCAATTGCAGGAATAAATTATAACAAAGGGTCATGTAACTAATATACTATATTAACCAACTTAATTATCATTTGTTGCAGTAAATACAAGCACAGGGCCATGCAACTAATATTCTAAACTAACAAACTTAATTATCAATTGCAGGAATAAATTATAACAAAGCGTCATGTAACTAATATTTTGTGCTAACAAACTCAGTTATCAGTTGTTGTTGTTGTTGCAGTAATTCAAAGCGCTAGTCCGCTTTGTTGGTACTGAGTACTAGTTATATTGTCCTTGAATATGTCGCCTGGTAGCAAGTAAAAGGCAGTGTGAATATAGGGAATATAGTTGGAGCACGTCTTTAAGAAGATCCCTGGTATACATAGGTTATATAATTGCTACAGGTCAACTAGTTTGCCGAGTGTGTCAGTTCGATTCAACTTGTACGTTATGAATCTTAATATTAAACTGCAGCATATTGCACACTGCATATAACTTTGTAAAAACATATAGATTGAATAACAACCTGGACTTACCTGTAGTTAGAGGGTGTACCTGAGATTTCCACCTGGCTGCGTTCTGTTCATCCAGTGACTCAGGTGTAATAGGAAACTAGAGATTCACGCTGTAGAGATTTATCGCCAGTTTCATAATGTAAATATCTCATTCACATTGCCTCGTTCATGGCCGGATGTAGCTACCTCGCTATGCCCCTGTTGCCATGCTTACCATTCACCCTGGGTCAGGAGACGCACGCTCTGGGGGATTGGCCGGCCGGGGGATGGGCCAAGGAGGACTGTGTCACCGCTAAAACTGCTGGAGTACAATTGCGTGGATTTGAAAGTAGCAGTGTAACTGTCAGAGGGGCAACATGTGTGCCAAGTTGCAAGTGCTTTTGTGTAAATTGTGACGCGACCCCTGACC